AATACATGTCCAGAAGGTAAAGTTAGATCGTAACTCCCTATGGCTAATGCAGCAACCTTTGCTCCATTCCCAACGTGGAGATCTACTTCTCCTTTTGCCAACTGTCTACTTCCTCGCAACGCTTTCACATTTCCACAAATGTGCGAGCACTTCCGGTATCCAATACCCACGATGTGGAAGTAAACAAGTTAGCCTCTATAACGAAGACACCAAAATTCGATGCTTTTATAAGCTTCTTCTTCTCTTGATCTTCCAGGTAGAGTCTACAATTTCTATACCAATGTCCAACGGCATGACATAAATAACTCTCTTCCTTTTTGGACTTAGGCTTAGGTTCAATGACAACGCTTGTCACTTTCCTTTTGCCCTTGCTCTTGGAACGCTTCCTTTTGCCGAAACTCTTTCCAACAACTACCATATTACTCTTTCCGTGGCTCTCAGCTTTCTTTTGGAATGACGCATTCTACTGATCAACTATCAAAGAATCGTCCATGTCCTCTAATTGCTTACGCAATTTCGAAGTCACGTTTCCAAATATCAAGCAAGACTTATCCAGATAATCATCCACATGCTTCCAATAAGCATCAATGATCGATCTAGAAGCCGTGGTAAGAGGATTATCCTTCATAAGGACAGATCGCATCGTCAACTTCGGTATACTACCGGTCGACGCTATGTCCTACAGAAAAAGACAATAGAACGAAAACACATCTACATGCAGATTCTATCAATGATCTACTACCAGCTAGTCCATCATCAATCAACGACAACATAGATGCATATACAAGCTATATTCCCATAAAGAAAAATAACCCTACCATAAATTTCTATATGAGACTAAGATCCGTATTTCACACAAGAATAAATTGTTACACTTATCCTTATGCTATTTAGGTAGACATATAATGTCAATCACGTCCAATGTGATTCTTAGATCTTTTATGAGACTATGATATCGAATATCATTGCATACTCATCTCATCTGTACCATTAAGTCTCAAGTCAAACTCGACACCTTAACCTAAGGTAAACCATATTCAAGCTGTGAGAACCACGATTTTCCACCCTGTCTCACAAAGATAATCCGGCACGCTCAGCTTTGGCATGACCCGTGTTACGGACGATCGATGCCTTGACAAGTGCTCTAGTAATGGAAGGTACACGCTTAGCATTACATAAAAAGGGATTTTTAAAACCACACTTAGATCAAGCATCTACTTTCAAGCTATGAGAATCACCATTTCTCCATCTTGCCTCACCAAGATAATACGACACACCTAGCTTTGGCATGACCCATGACACCTACGATCGAGGCCTTGACAAGTGCTTTACTCGTAGAGCTCCTAGATCTAACCTGTTTCTGTGCAACGATTGTACGAATCGAATCAAGGATCAACCATTGTTCCTTGATCAGATGTATTACATAATCCGAATAGACCATCCATTCGATTATGTAATCCCAATCCCGAAGCTCCCACTCAATCAAGCGTATCTAATATCTTGATTAGGTAACATGCATTCATGCACTATGGACCATCCAAACGAACGAATCATGTAATTCTGAATCACAGTTGATCGGGTTAAGAAACTATTGCTCAAACCATATCACAAAACGAAGAACCAAAATTTTTGGTCTAACCTCGGGATGTGGACCGATCGGTCCAGGGTCTGGACCAATCGGTCTATGTGATTCAGTCTGAACGGTCCAGAACGGTCCAGACCTTTCAGTCCGAACCTCCAGACCGATTGGTCCACACGTGTGGACCATTCGGTCTAGGCCTATCGGTCCAACCGACACGCGAAACCCTAGACCGATCGGTCCAGATGATCAGACCGATCGGTCCAGGTGAAAAACGTAATCAGATCTCATTTTCGTCGTTTTGGCCCCGTTTCAGACCCGAATTTGACCCGGTTTTTGCCTATGAACTCAGAATTTGAACCTCTTGCAACCATGCAAAAAGAACATGTAATCTACTCTAGATCTACAATCAATTCGTGCATAGCATTGATAACTCCTATTCTTCTCTATATTTTGATGAGAGTTTGTCTAGGTTTTACAGGATAATCACATGCATTCATAGACATTCTAGGCGTGTTAGGATACAAAACCCGGTTGTGCTCTAGTTTTGCAGAGTTACAGGTTTCGAAGATGATTGGACTCGAAAAGGAGCTAATTGGAACGTTAAAGGAGAAGTCCGGATGAGATGCTCATGTTGCGACATCAATAACTTTCTCTACAGAGGTCCAAATCGTGCGAGACTTATACCATTGGAAAGATCACTTCAAGAGCTTCACGTGGACACCAAAATCGCGTAAATCCGACACCGGAGCAGAGAGTTATGAGCGAATTCGTGAAGACCAGAAAACTGCCAGCGCAGGGCCGGATCCAACTGGATCCGGTCCGGATCAAGGACGCAGAATTTGACCCCAGGAATCTGGATCCGGTCCGGATCCACCTGGAATCGGTCCGGATCCAGTCTAAAACCCTGTTTCGCGATTTTCAGCATCTGAATGGGAATAGGACTCTTGGGAGCCGCCCTAGGGTTATAAAAAAGCCCTAGCCACGTCTTAGAACATCAGAGACCCTTAGAGAACACCTAGATACACACTTTTGGAGAGCTTTTGGTGAGAGAAGAATAGAAGTTCACGGGATTTCGGGAAGAAGAAGGAGGATTCGATCGTGAAGACTAGACATCGACATGAGACTTTCTTTCCTCTCTTTTATCTCTTTCTTTATGAGCTTTTTGTTGTCTTCTATGAACCGTGAGTAGATCCAGGACTATGGGTTAGGGATTCGTATGTGTTTTGGGTATGTTTGAACCCTAACTTGGATTTCGGTTTTGATTTGATTCGGTTCTATTGATTTACACTTTTATTGGATTGATGTTTGCTAACCCCTTGATCAATTATCTTGGATTCTGAACCACATAGAGATATGGGTTTGTTTCGGATCAAAATCAATAGGATAGATCGTATTATTCACATAGAGATATGGCTTAATCGATTTAGGGTTGATGATAGCGTTCTTTATGCACCTAGGGTTAACTTGAATAGATCGAGAGATTGACGAGTTACTCTGTAGATAGTGAGTTAGTAGACCGAGAGGTGAATTCTCCATCTTTGTTGCTTGATGATTCCCGAATACAAGTCATAATCGTTATTCATGCATGCTTAGCATATACCCATACACGCGAATACGATCCCGACGCCCGTAGTCATCCTTGTTTGATAGGTTACTCGTTTATATTGCTTTCTTATTTCGTTTTCTATAGATTCCAATTACTTCCATCATCACTTACTTGCTTGCTTTGATCTCTTTTCGATTTAGATTTGGATTTAGCAACCGGTCCTTGTGTTCGACCCCGTGTTACGACGATCCGTATCCTTGCGGTGAGTTGTGAATCGGGTTATATATTTTAGACTCGATACACACGTATCAGCATCCAAAAGAAAACACGGATTCAAACGATTCAAATCCTATAACGTGCGTGATCGGATTCTAGCAAAATCATACAAAGAAACCAAGTTCTGATACCACTGTTGAGATTCCTGGGATCTCTACAGCGAATCTAATTTCTAAGAGATCGATTCTAGGGTTTACGAGTAGATGTAGAACAAAAAGTTTATGAAACCCTAAAACCTAGCATGCATGATCTTGTAGAAACGTTAGAACGCTTACCTCAATCGATCCGGGGCCTATATCAATCGAAGAGTTCGTCCGATCACTAAAGGTAGGAAGAATACCTCACCCTTTACACGTATCCACACGGCGGAAAGGATTCCAACGGTTGGAACTCGTCTAGTAGGACTGAAGAACGCTTTCTGCTTTGCGCAAGGGTTTCAGGTATCTTACTATGGGTTTTTCACTCTCAAAAACCTCTCAAAAGGGTCTGAAAGTCGTGTCAAAGAGCTTAGGAGGCGTTCCCCAAAAGGAAATCCGAGGTCTGGACCGATCGGTCTAGAACATTTTCCAGACCGAGCAACATTTGCACGTTACCTCTGGACCGAACGGTCCAGACCTTCTGGACCGGTCGGTCAGGCCTCCGCCCCACCGGGATTTTCTCGTCTTTTCTCGCGCGTTTGTCCTTTCCTATGTGTGACCCTGTAGGCTCATCCGATATAGCAGTATAACCCGAAATCTTCATTTCGGTTATACAAGTCATAGGCATTCTCTAGCAAGACACTATGACTACCTATCTCGAATAGAGTTTGTTCGTGATCTTACAAACATCGTGATGATTCCCGTTGATGATCCATTTGTACCACGAAATCATACGTCGAACATAAGGCATGGAGAAGCCACCTTATCTGGCTCGACTGCTTTCTCGTTCACTGGGTTTGATTGTACGAGATAGACGACGTTCGTCTATAGTGCAACCACACATTTTTACAGACTCGCTTACATGAGGGGCCCAGCGATATCTCTCTCTCTTTTACGAGAGGTATAAATCCCTTCTTGACTATCTACAATCCAACACTGATTCGTGTCGTATCTGATACACGCCTTTATAGTCCTCCTGTTACGCAGGGCGTTTGACACATTCAAAGTGCACAACTCCTCATGTTGGATTCCGTAGATATCTCAGGCCATAGGATCCAATCATGGAACCGTCATATGAGATTCAAGTCATGACGCGAGTCCATGAGACAATCTTATGCGGGTCAATCCAGTATTCCGTTCTCCAACGAATACCTATGATTGTGATTGTATCCAATACCTATGATCATCCCTATGATCATAAATCACACATCATACTAGTCAAAGCCTATAAGCAATAGCTTTGTCAAAAACGAAAACAAAGCCAAGGCGAAGGATATTGATGCACGAGACAAGGCAGCACCCATCATAATTTCAACGGAAGTCAGCACAATAGGTAACAAATTCGATCCGAGATCTCTTTTATTTTCGGGAACAACTAATCCGGAAGCTTATCTCGAATGGGAGAAGCGGATGGAAGAAATTTTTGAAGATTATAAAGGGACAGAGCTTAGAAAGGTGCAATATGCCGAAAGCCAACTCATAGGAGATGCTTTCACTTGGTGGAAAAGAGAAGAGATCGATCGACGACGTGCGCGTTATGATCCGGTCACAACTTGGAAGAAGATGAAAATCTTGATGCGTAGAAGGTATGTTCCTCAACATTTTCTACGTGAATTGCGATATAAGTTTCGTAACATAGTGCAGGGAAAGAAGACGGTTGAGGGCTACTTCAGAGAATTTGAACAACTCCTTGCTTACTTGAGAATCGACGACAATGAAGAAGATCTCATGGCACACTTTCTAGAGGGCTTGAAAGACCGAATCGCTAGAAAGGTAAACCCACACGTATATCGTGACTTGAGACATCTTGTACATACGGCAATTCAAGTAGAGCGACAAATGAACAAGAAGCTGTCAAAGAATGGGTGCCAACGAACGCCAACGCCAATGCGTATACCCGAAAAACTTTCCAATACCGGAGACCCAATGAAGGCGCAAAATCTTGATGCTCGAAAGGACGAAACTATCTTATATAAAAGAGAAGTCCACACACGAGGTAACAAAACTTCTTCCTCGTGTACTTATTTTACTTCTGAGGTTCCGTGTTCGGAGTGTAGGAACCAAAGTCATTTGCCCAGTGGAAGTTCCATCCGACAAGAGGTGAGCATCAAGGATAACGGGGCATATCACTCAATCGCGTTGGCTGTGGGGAGGCACCTTGAGGATGATTTCGAAGTTCCATCTGACAAGGAGACCAAGAGCGTGACCGAAAAGAAAGAAACGGTCGAGAATCCCGGCTTTGTGACGGAAACAAAACCCAAAAGTTTGGCAAATGTGAGTGAAGAGCGGCAATATGTCAAGGAGAATGCATTCGTAGTCACGAGTAACAAGAAGGAATATGATGCCAAAGAAAGCGAGGATGAGAAGCCGAAGGAAAACGTACTTGAATTTTCATCTTCTTCCAAGTTGTGACCGGATCATAACGCGCACGTCGTCGATCGATCTCTTCTCTTTTCCACCAAGTGAAAGCATCTCCTATGAGTTGGCTTTCGGCATATTGCACCTTTCTAAGCTCTGTCCCTTTATAATCTTCAAAAATTTCTTCCATCCGCTTCTCCCATTCGAGA